GTTACCGTTAACCAATCAAAATTGTGAAATTCGATTAATCCCGGATCAGTCTGAAAATCAAAACAAATGTTTAAACTCAATTATCTCGAAATGAGATAAATGTAAAAATGGAACCTTTTAATTGAAGACACTCCATATATTCAACTAATCATTAATAAATATCAATATACAGACCTATTTTTCTAAAAATGTCTCTGATAAGATTCAAACTTTAAACCTGCCACTTCCCTATAAGAAAAGGGCACACATAAAGATATGTAAATATATGTAGCAAAACATGGAGATATACGGACACACACCGAATAGACACGGAACCAACATGTAAAATAAAATCATGGACTTCATTAAATATTTGTACACATCGGAAATCAATATGTAAAAGCCAGTAAGTCTGTAAAAACACGGAAAGATGCAGGTAAAATTATGTATACTGTATTAGATATAGCAAAAGACAAATTCGTTTTTTGCTATATCTGAAAAAATATTGAATAATATATATCATATTTACTTATTGTATATAAGCATATTATTATCTGAATTTGAACTGTAATTATTGCCACGTATTATTTCCTAATAAAAAAAATGTTACAAGTACAGAAAATGCTATCTTATAAATGAGCTATTTTTCAGTAAATTCTTTAGGTTTTTCAATAATATAATAAAGACTATTTAACTGAAAAAAGCCTACACATTTTCTAATTGCTGATACAGGAATAAACTCTTTCACACCAAATCCAGCAAATGTTTTTAATTTATATAATTGGTTGGTTACATTTTGAGCATTATGTACATATGCTAACATATATTTTGTCCCAGCATATTCATAAACCAAATAATAAAGTACACAACCATAAAATGTACCCAATTCGTAAGATTCTTTCCGATTTTGAACTTCTAATTCATACTAAATATTATACATTAAATTAGTATCTAAAATATATAAAAGTTAAGTAGTATATATTGTATAAATTATTTAAAACCTTAATACCTTAATACATGAATTGTTACGTGATTTGCTACCAACTTGTGTTAATACAGATCCAATCATATACCCATCTTTTGTTCGGAGCCGTGCAAATCTTCTACCATAATTATTTAACTATAAATAAATATTAGTTTTGTAGACAATTTTATAAAATTTTTCAAGCGATACTTACTTCATCTATTTGAAATTGATTATTTGATCGATAAAACTGACGTAAATATGTTATTTTACAATCCCAATTTCCATCATTTCTTTTTCCTTCTTTAATTTTATAATTTGCTGCTGGGTGTCACAATTCTTCTACACTATTATCTAATACAAAAACTTGATCGTCATTATATTGTTTTTTTTCTTCCTGAGGAAAAATTTGATCACGAAACTTAGGTAAATATTTAAGATGATTAAATCTTTCCATTATCATTATATTATTAACAAGATTTTTATAGGGATACAAGCGAGAGCATACCATAGGTTGTAGCATTCCACACAAGCGTTCAATTGGATACTGTCAGAAAGTCCAACAAGGGCCACAATCAATTATAGACTCCTGAACATGAAGTAAATAATGAAATACCATTTTGAATGCTGGCAAACGCAAGATATCTTTTTTGGCGTAATCTCTAGAATTGGAAAGAATTTTTTGAGTACTTTTTTAAATTTGTTAAAAATGAAAATTTTAATTACCGTTCATAGCTTTTCCAAAATTCTTGAAAATATTTGCTAATATTAGCTAGTTCATTTTGAGTAATTGTATGCTTAATACATATGCGACATGCTAAAACATATGCTGCCCAACCATTTAGTAATCTAATTAATTATGTAATAAATAATAATTAGTAATATAAATAATTTCAAACTTATTTTTATCATTATAATTTCTAACCTTGGATTCTTCAAATAATTTACTAAAAGAGGTAATGAATATAAACATGTCCAATTAGTCTACTCTTCGGCCTTAAAACTATTTGAATATCGATAAATATTAGTTGGCAAACAACCAAATTCAGAGGACATTGTTTTGTTATTTTTATTTTTATCCATAATTTCTCTAATTTTTTTCCAAATCCGTTTTGGCATAATATGATGTTCAGTTTCAGTATTATTTAGTTCTGAATTTGAAAAAAAAGTTCCATTCCAATGTTTATACATCCAAAAAGATACTCCTTCAAAAAGAAGATACATTATATCTAGTGGAAAAGATCTAGGAAACTTAGTTGCTTTAAGTTCAAAAAGAATACTTCGACCATTTACCCCTATATAATTTAAAATAGTTGTTTGTTATTAATCTTGGTTTAAATTTATATTACAGGATTGGAATTAGTTTTAAATCATGTTGATAGTAATATTAACAAGAAATTTATTAAGTTGATATATATAAGGAAATTTTGATATATAAAAATTTATAAAAATTTGTTTTGTAGCTTAAGTTGATATTAACAAGGTTGATATTGATAGGGTAATCTGTATTTAAATAAGTTTAAATAAATTTACCTGTTTCTGAAGCACATCGTTTTCACCCTGTATCAGATACTTGATTTTCATATTCTTTAATTTTTTTAAGATAAGATTTATGTATTCTTAGTGGTAAATTATCTAAATTATAAATAGGCAATTTACAACCTGTAGATGGTATAAGTGGATAGTAAACATGATTTTTATTTAGTTCTCCACTTATAATACCCCGTATATTACAAAATCTACAACCCATATATGAATTGTATCCTGTTATATATATTAATTTTGAAATAGCTGGAATATCACCACACCAAAAAATAACATGAGCACATAAAGTAAAATTTTCATTTGTTACTGCATCCCAACATAAAATACCCTCTAAATTTAAAAATTATATCAATTAGCAATATTATAAAATTAATAAATCTATAATAATAATTTTATCTTACCTTCTAACTGCTTTAGTTCATTAATTAGAGGACGCATAAAGGTATTAAAATTTTTTGGTTGTTTGAAACCTGGTATAATTGCTACTACTAACAGATTTTCTTTTTTACACGAATTTCTGGTGATAAATTATTATTAATCATTAAAATTACCCAACAATCATCACGTTGTTGTTCAAATATTTGATATCCATCTAATGATGCTGAAAATACTATATCACGATCATCAGGTAATAGTCTTTCTTCCAATATTTCTTTATATAACTTGCCATCATAAATATCTCTAATAGTTTCATTATCCTGTTTGTAATTAGCACGATATCTTAATTGATTTGCACGAGTTGGATCTGCATATTGAATTCTTAATCTTGGGATTAATGGAAAGTAAATAGCAAATTTTCTTAGGTTTTCTTTACTATCATATCGTAATTCACCACAAATTTGACATATATTGTCCTCAATAAATTCTTCAGTAAAGGCTGACAAGAATTTATACACATTTCAACTTTTGTTTCTTCAAAACTTACTAACTGCTATAGTTTTTTTTTGCTAAATGTAAACTTACATTAGAACATTTAAAAATTTTTAAAACATTTTCATAAAAATTATTTGAAACAGCTGGATTTTCTGTTTTTAAATATAATAATTGCAAAGCTTGTATAATCTCTGGTGATAAATAATTAGAATCTAGTAATATAAAAAATTATTCTAAAATAAATATTAAATTTTATTATTTTTAAATAATAAATAACAAAATTACCCCAATTTAATTGATCAAAATTTTCATTTTCATTTAATAAATCTTCAGAAAATTTATTTTCAGTTATTAGCAATTCATTTACATAACTTGTAGTACTAATATATTAAATTAAAATAATTAATAAATAAATATTAAATATATAATAAATAATAATTTGCAAATAAATTTATATACTTCTCTTCCAATTGATCATCATATTCATTATCATATTGATAATTTTCATTATTGTATTGATAATTTTCATAATCATATTGATAATTTTTATTATCGTATTTGTCATTATATTGATTATTTTCATCATTAGAATTATCTTGATATTGATAATTTTCAATATCACTAATTTCTATATTTTCATCTATTGTAATTTCCATATTTTCTAAACTATTATTTTCAATGTTTATATTTGATTCAAAATCTACATTATTTTCGATACTTGTATTTAGTTGTATATGAGTATTTAACTAAGTTTGAACATCTTCTAAACTTTTTTCTCTAAAATTTAAATAAATAATTAAATAAATAAATAAAATTTAGATTATTTATAATAAAAATTTTAAAAATTCTTACATCGCTATTGTATTATGAATATAATCTAGATTTTTATAATATTTATTTGATTTGGCAGAATTATGTTGAAAAATATTACAATCTTCAATAAAATTTTTTTGATGCTTTAGCTTAGTTCGTTTAATAACTTTAATACCATTTGAGTTTTTTTGAATACATTTTGGACATTGACAAATTATAAATTTTGAATTCATTGGTAAGAATTTTAATTTGAAAATAATTATTAGTATTAGTAATAGATATTTAATAAAGTTTTTTATATTACACAATCTATTTGTAATACATTCTATAATTAGGGGATGGCTAAAGCCATATACCCATATGATTTTAACATTTAATTAGATTAATTAAAATTAAGATTAGAATTAGAGTTAGGTTGGTGTTTATATAAGAAGAAATATATAAATAAAATTGTCTTCTTGACATTTTTAATTAGTGCTCCAAAACAGGTTTAGACTATTGTTTTTTGTCTTTTTGCATTTTCTTTATTTTTGACTTCTTAAGCTGCAATTCCGATTTATTGATTTACACAAAATAGTCATGTGGGTACATGGCTTAGATGACCCTATAATTGTAGCCAATCATAACTAAATTTATTAAACACGTAAAAATTTTATGTTGATCAAAATAAGTATAAATATTGTAATTTATTTCTTTTTTAATTTTTAGATCTTTAATAATGACGCTACAAGAAGAAATTCAAAATTTAAGTACACTTCTTGCAGAAACTGTTCAAAAGATTTCTTCACTTGAAGCAAAATATAAAAACCCTTCTGCACTTCCAATAATTTCTAAACCAAAACTATCAAAAGATAAAAAACAAACAAAAATTTCATTAAGCAAAGTTTTTTCTTTAAATAAAACTGAAATTTCTGAAGTAAAAAAAATGGCAGGAATTATTTTAGATAACTATAGAATTTTACACAATACAACAATTTCTAGAATTAAACCAACACTTGTTAACAACTGGATCGATATGGTAAAAAATTTTTTAATATTTTAAATATTTATATATACTGATCTAACAATTTTTTAGTTAAAAAAAGAATATTCAAAATATTTCGATGAAAATAACTGGGCCTATTACGAAGCTATAAAGCAAGTTATGCAAGATAGAAGTAAATTTTAATTTTAATTTAGATTATATTATTTAATGAATATTTAAACTACTAAATTTTTTAACTTAAAAAAACTTTTAATATTTTGATCATATTTATTAATTTAATTTAAATTTTTAAGGCTCTTATGAAAGGTGAAAAAAAAAAAAAACAAAATGATCAAGAAAAAATGTCTAATGAAAATATTGCAAATCAAAACAATTTGGATGTTGAAGCAATTACAAGTGAAAGTGAAAATGAAATTGAAAACGAAATTGAAAATGCAAGTGAATTTCAAACAAATAAAGGTAAAATTCAAAATTTATAAAAAGCAAATTTTATATCAATATCATTTAATTTAAATAATTTAATTATTAATATTATTATAAATAAAAATTTAGAAAATATTAAGCAACGACCAAAAAGAAAAAGAAATAAACCTATATCTTATTGAACCTAGATAGTAGTCTTAAACTATTATATATATTTTTTCTTTCACTATCCCGATATGTATATTTGAATAGTTATATTACCTTTTAATAAATTTATTTTGCTATATATAACTAGTTAAAATAAGTTATTGTATGAAAATTTTTAAATAAATAAAATTTATTGAATCATTTTTAATAAAAAATATTGTATATTAATTAATTTAATTTATTAATTATAAAATATTAATAATAAATATAATAACTATATATTATTTTTCTATATAAAGTTACATGTTTTAAATACATGTAAATGGTACATTTTTCATGTTTTGAATATGGAATTTTGCGTGTAAAAAGACTATTAAAAAAGTGTAAAATTACTTGTAAATTACATACTAATTTCTGGTTATTTTACATATTTTTCCTAGTTATTTTTCCATGTATTTTTCCATATTTTTCCATATTAATTTTTTTTATAGGGCTTGGAAGTAACAACTTAATCACTACTCTAAGTTGCTACACTCTTTCTTCAATTTTCTTAAAATTTTATTAAGCTAAATGATTTTTTGTATTAAATAAAAAATGTTCTTATAATCAAAATAGCTCTAGTTTCATAAAACCAAATTAGCGATTGCTTTAATAAAATTTTGAAAAAATAGCCTTTAGACTATACTTCTTTAAATTTTAGCTGTTTATAAATATTTTAAATTTTTTTAAAAATTTATTAAGTTAATCAATTTTGTGCATTAAATAAAAATGTTTTTTTAATCAATATAGCTCTAGTTTTATAAAATAAAATTAGTGATTATCTTAATAAATTTTGAGAAAATAGCTTTTAAAATTATAATTCTTTAAATTTTAAATATTTTCAAATCAAATCAAATACTGTTAGCCTTTTCAAAATTGGTATACATAGTGAATAGGTTCTGTATTAGTTTTGAAAGATTATCAGATTTGAAAAATCATATAACAAATAGTCAAAAATCAGCCAATAAAAAATTTTTATTGAATTTAATTAGAAAAACTTCACTCAAAGTTTTATTTGAAATCTTGGTTTTTTTTTTTTAATCTATATAGCAAAGTTTTTAATTTCTAAGGCTTTCTTAAAAAAGCATTTTACTTGTTTAGATGATTTTAAATTCATTAACTTTTAAATTAATTACAGTAGATTATAAGGCATTATAAAATTATATTGAATTTAACCCTATTAGTAGTTTACAAAATATAAGAATAACTTGTAAATGTAATAGATATATACTAATCTGTTATCTATTTTAAATTTAAAAATTAGTGTATCTTAATAACAAACTTACAAAATCTTCATATCTTTCTGAAATAATACAAATCTAATTAATTTTTTTTTTTTTTTGGTATTACGGTGAGGCCTTGCTCATATCTTTATTAGTAATTTTAAAAATAGTAACTACATTG